AGAGAGAGAGAGAGAGAGAGAAAGAGAGAGAGAGAGAGAGTTAGAATTTGTGAAAATCATTCAGATTGTTCATTGCAAATTCTTGTCTCTTGAATCTATTTTTCAATTGATCTTCAAGAATAAAACAAAAGAGTGAAATTGTTTCAACAAATCCTGTCTGTATTGAACAAATAAAAAAATTTGTACAGATAAAAAATTGGACAGATAAATTTGGATTAAAAAATTATACGGATAAAAATATTGAACAGATAGAAAATTGCACAGATAAAATTTAGACAGATAGAAAATTTACACAGAAAAATTTGAATAAATAGAAAATTTACACAAAAAAAATAAACAGACAGACAAAAAAATTGAATAGATAAACAAAAAAATTTGAACAAATAGTCAATAAAAAGTCAAATAGATTAAAAAAAAAGGTTAAGGGGTAAATTAGAAACAAAATATCATTTACGGCTACTTACTAAACTATTTCACAAAATGTGGACCAATCACTAAAAAAATAAAAAATAAAAATAAAACCTAAACCTAATACCTTAGACAATTATTAGAGTGGATTTGTCATCAATTTTCTCTTAATATTATAAAATTTTATTATAAAATTACACATTTTATAATAAAGATAAGTATCCACTCCTAAACAGATGCACACCATCGCATTTATGAATACAACTTCACAACACATGACAAGATTGTCATCTCTAAGGCTCCGTTTGTTTTCCGGAGTAACAATCCACTTCGGACTATGATGGATGAACAGTGAGCTTAGCTCACGTTTGTTTTGTTTATGGCTCTCCGAATTGATAGCCCGTTCGGATTAGGATAGGTCTTGAGCGAGCAGATTGTTAGTTTGGGCGAAGAAGTGGTATTAGGAAAATAGTCCATCAGCTTAGTGAGTTGTCGAGACGTTCTCTAGATTGATAGTCTGTTCTGATTAGGCTAGGTCTTGAGCGAGCGGATTATTAGTTTAGGCGAATAAGTGGTATTAGGAAAATAGTTTGTCGGCTTAGTGAGTTGCCAGGACGTTCGACCAGTCAACTAAAAGGTCAACCGGTTAATTGCAATTCTTTTTTTTTTTTACATGTTGGGTATTTTTATTAAACATTAATGTTTAATGATTTTATATTTTTTGTTAAGTAAAAATCATAATTTTATTTGTTTTATTATTTTATATAATAATAATTTAATAATCTTACACTATCAACTGTCATCAAAATAGACATAATTTTATTAATTCTCTCACTATTAATCTCATTTATTCGACCTCTAAAACCCCTAAGGCTAACGTTAAAAGAGACGTCCACGTTTCACTTTTGTATAAAAAGTGCACTGACATGACTGAAGAAGATGTACCAAAACCTGGCCCCCATGAACGTGATGCCTCCGACTTTCAAGCCCTCACAACTTGACGAGCGGGGCCTCTTTGGTGAAACCGAATAGTGGGTATTGTTCTGCCATTGCACAGCAGTCATTGTTATGAATAGAATGGGATTCATTTTGAACCGTTCACTTTTAAAATATATTGAGTAAAATATTTTTATAAAAAATTATGTTGATAAAATATTAATAATTATATAATTAAATAAAATTTATATTTAAGCATCATTTGAAAATTGACTATTTTAATTAATTTTTTAAGTTTTTTATGAAAAGACGTACAGAAAAATAGAGAGTATAGTGAATGTGTATGTTATCTTTTTAACTATTTTGGCTAAAAAAATTCACCCTGAATGAGGCCTCAATTTTATAATCAAAATCACACTTCGTATTTATTTTTACAAATACAAATATGAACGTGATTTTTTATAAAAATATTCTATTCGATGCAATGAATGATTCAGATCATCGAGATGGGACCTAGAGTGAATCCCATTGTGCTCACAACAGTAACTGATGTGCAAATGAGCACAACAATCACCCTCTATCCGTGAAACCCACCCGAGCAAGAAATTTTTTAGTATTCATTAAGTACGATCATGTGGTGTATCAGGAACATTATAATTGTTAAAGGGAGTGGGTCCACGATTTAATGTTATGTCATGAGAATATGGCATTTAATGATTGGTGAAAGTCTGGAATTACTGAAGTTAAACAGCTTAATTTCATACTGAAATTAACCCATTTTCGTACTAGCTTGGCCTCACTTTGATAATTTATACCGTTCATCTTATACAACTCGATAATAAAATTATCTATGCAAAAAAACAAGTTGATTTAATATCGATTATCATACCAGTTGATCTTTTTTATCTATATAACCTACATGTTTTTAATAATAGAGCATATATTTGTTATAATATATATAATCATGTGATTACTTATGTCTGATAAACTTAATTTTTTGCATGCGTATTCTTCTCAGTTTGTTACATGAGATAATGATTCAGATCATTGCTATAGATACAAATTAGTTTCACAATGCGCCAACTTCACTTGTGAAGTTGAAATATTTAACTTTAGCAAATCCGACTCGTACCATGTGGTTTCCCAACACCACTAATAATATTTTCACTCGTGAAGAGATGCGATACGGTGATGGTAGATGGTAGTGTTAAGAGAAGGGGTACACTTAGATTGACATAAACTAGTGTAATAAATAGAAATATGAATCTTCTTAATTTGACTAACAAAATAGTTTTGGATAGAGTTGATTTGAGAATAAAGATTTATACAGCCGACCCCATTTGATGGGATTTAAGACTTGATCTGGTTTGGTTTAGTTTGTCTACTTTTCGGATTTACATATAATTTTATTTTTTTTTTTTTTATAAAATTCATTGGTTAGATTATTTATGTAACATATTAAATTAATGAAATACTTGTAATTACAAAATTAAATCAACTTTATTCTAACAAAATGTACATTTATTTTCAAAAATATATTTATCATTTATTTATTTATTTTAAAATATAATATGAACTTATGTTTAAAAATATTCAATCAATTTAATGAAAGTGAAAATCCAAAGTGAACCAAACCCAAAAAAAAAAAAAAGAAGACAAATTACCTGATATGATTGTTTTGTCATAATTATATTGGGTTGCTTTAAAGTTTTACTCATATAATACTTTTAACTTCATTTTTATTAATAATTGATTAGTTATATGGATAAATTAATGATATTGTCATATCATTGACACTAAAATATATAATTTTTTCTTATTTAGGGTTGTTTAAAATTTGCTTATTTAGTATATTTTTTGACTTTTTATAAAAAGATGTGCAGAAAAGTAAAAAGGTAATATGATTCCAAATATAAGTGCACTTATATAGTGCATATTCCCAAACAACCCTAGTGTGTCTTCATCCCATTTGCATTCGTTCCAATCCCTTTAGTCATACTAAAAGCGGAAATGAGTGTAATTATGTAAAAATTAAAAACTTATTGTGTTTTTTCTAAACTTTAAAGATGTTAGTGTAATTTATCATAAAAAACAAAACAAAAAAACAAAAAAATAAAAAACAAAACAAAAACAAAAACAAAAACAAAAACAAAAAATAAAAAACAAAAAATACAACAAACCTTATTGTGCTGAATGACACAATAGAAATGCTTTTAGAGCAATACTCCATTCCCTCGACTAAAAAAAAGTTATATCTTGTTATCTAAAACTATTAATTTGTATCAATATAAACATTTTGTTAATAATTCATTATGTAAACGGAAGAAAAATTGGTATGCAACTTCCCCGTCATATCTAAAATTTTGTGAAGTACTTAAAAAGATATTATTCTCTTTCCATTTTTCTCTCTCTCTCTCTCCCGTAATTGTTCTACCAAAATCTACAACTATAGTTGGCCTACACCGTGGCTATCATTGCCACTGCCTTGGGTAGGAAAAAGAAGAAAAAAACAACAATAATATTATTTTAAACCTTCTATAATATTTAAAATGTCATATATGCGTCACGTGTCGAATTTTCATATGTGAGAATATTGTGTATATATATATATATGGTAGTGTAGTTTTGAATTAGGTGAATATTATTGTTTCATTTTTAGTCTTAGGGTTAGGAATGCTATATAATTAGATGTATCCTTCGTATTTTGAGACAATTGAATATACAGTTTTTATTCAGAAATCTTACATGGTATCAAAACTATCACTGAAACTCTAGAAGTTGCTCGTCTCTTTGCATCATAGGTCGTGGTCTTCTCCCTTGATCGCGATTGACTGCTTGTCTAGTTGTTCTACTTGGAGGTCACTTTCTTGCTCTCTCTTAATAGGTTGGTCAGTCTAGGTTGATTTGTTCATCAGTTGTCTGGGTTCAACTCGCGACTCCTCTCAGCCTCAGCGAGTCACGATACCTTTTCAAATCATCTGGGTTCAATTTCTGGTTTTTTTGGTTCGTTGGTCTTCTCTCTCTGGTTTTCTGGTTCGTTGGTCTTCATTTTCTCTAGTTCTCAACTTGTGATCTCTCATTTGATCATTGCATCTGTTACTTGTGACCCACTTGGTTGCTTCGTTTATTGGTTTGAAAAAAGAGAAAAAATCGTGGTCTCTTCTCTTCTTGAGACTCACAATTGGTATCTCCTTCAGAGCTTCAATTTTGAATGGTTTTTGTCTTCTCTAAGGTTGTTTTCTTCTGATTTGTGAGTTACCCATTGATACTTGACTCATCTGGTACTGTGTTTCTTGCGATTTTTGGCTTATTATAGTTTGACCCATCTAGTTCTGGTTCTAGTTCTAGGTTTATTCCACTTGAACCCCTAAATTTTCTGGTTATTATGATGTCTCTAGCTTTTAATGAGTGTGCCTTTTTTCTATCAAAAGGGTCATTGGAAGTATCATTGTCCTAAAAAAGGATGTTTGTCTGGTTTGTCTGTATTTACCTTGTCTTCTTAACAGTTTTCGATCAAGTTCTGCGCTCTTTCTCTGAGTACCATTCAGCCTCTCGCCGGTTCTACTACATCTGCTTTGGCTCCTGATCCGGACTTGGCTTTCTTGACTGCTTAGATTAGTCAGTTTTAGCATATGTAGTCTACCTTCCAGCCATTCATGTCTGCCTCCATTGTTTCCTCCCTTCATTCAGGTTTGCTCGGGTCTTCTTCAGGTATGCCTTTGTCTGTCTGGCTTTTTGACTCTGGTATCTCACATCATATGACTTCCCATCTCTTTTTACTTTAAAATTGTACTCATCCTCCCTTTCTTATTACTGTCAATGCTGCTAATGAGTTTGGTATGTCTGTTATATCTGTTGCGTCTATCATACAGCCTGTTATGTCTACTGTCTCTATTTCATCTGTCTTTTATGTTTCTTAGTTATCTGTCAGTTTGTTATCTATCAGTCAGCTTGATGCCTCTGGTTTTGATGTTGTCTTTTTTTTCTTCTATCTGTTCTGTGCAAGATCGAATGTCTAAGTAGCAAATTGGGATCGGCCGCAGAGTTGGAGACCGCTATGTGGTGGAGAGCTTGCATCTGCCCATGGTAACCTCTCTGACTGCCTTTTCCTCTTTTCAGTTAGATTCTCTGTCTAGTCCTTTCTACTTATGGCATTCTAGATTAGGACATTTGTCTGCTGATCGCTTACTGTCTTTAGCTCAGTCTAGTATATTGGGTAAAGTTTTTCCTAGTGAACTTATTAAATGTCGGGGGTGTAAGCTTGCCAAAATGACAGCCTTACTTTTTCATAAAGTACTTCTATATCTGATACACCATTTTCTTTAGTTCATACTGATGTTTGGGGCCCTTCTCCTGTTCTCACCAAAGGGGGTTCTGCATACTATGTCATTTGTGGATGATTGCACCTGTTACACTTAGGTTTATCTTATGACTCATAAGTCTGACTTCTACCATATATACTGTACTTTCCAGTCTATGGTCACTACTCAGTTTAGGTCTACTATTAAATTGTTGCAGTCAGACTTGGGCGTGGAATACTTTAAAACTGAATTCTATGAATATTTGGCCAAATTGGGTACCATTCACCAAACTTCTTGTACTGATACACCTGCCCAAAATGGTTAAGTTAAGCGAAAACCCCGTCATCTTCTTGAGGCAGCTAGGTCTCTCATTTTCTCTGCCACCGTTCTGGCTTCGTTTTGGGGTGAGACAGTTCTTACTGCTGCTTTACTTCTCAACCGTATGCCTACCCCCTTCTTTCTGGTCGGTCTCCTTATGAGGCTCTGTTTTCTCAACTTCCTAATTACTTCCTCCTTCGTGTGTTTAGGTCTTCTTGTTTTGTCATTTTACCTCGTAAAGATAGGACCAAACTTAGTGTTTGGTCTGTCCTATGTGTCTTTTTGGGTTATAGTCTCACTCAAAAAGGTTATCATTGTTATGACCCTGTTTCTCGTCGCCTTTATGTCTCCCATCATGTTGCCTTTCTTGAACGTCTACCTTACTTTCAGCTTCCTCCTCTCACCGCCCTAGTTTCCAAAGAGGATTTGGTTCATATTGATCCATTTCCTTCTGAGGTCCCGTCTGATGAGTACATCTCCACAGTTCCTCCTAAGCTTGTTCCATCCTCTCCTTCTGCTTCACCTCTAGCTGCTTCTCCTCCTTCGGTTCCTTCTCCTCCTCCGTTGTTAGTTTCTTCTCGTCGCAAGGCTCCTCATCCACCGGTTATCTCTGCCCCTGTTGCTGATCCTCTTACTTCTGACAACTCTGATCCTGTTGCACACCGATATCCTACTCGAGCGCGTCATCCTCCAAACAGGTTAGGTTAGTCTAATACATGTTTTTCTGCTTCCTATTATACTTTTTAGTCTACTATTCACTCTTTTTCAAAACTTCAGTCTTACAAGGAGGCCTGTCAGGATCCTCATTGGGTTCAAACTATGGAGGATGAGTTGTCTGCATTATAGAAAACTAGTACTTAGGAGTTAGTTCATTTGCCTGCTGGTAAGAATCTGGTTGGTTGCAAATGGGTCTACAAATTCAAGACTCATTCTGATGGTTCTCTTGAGCTCTACAAAGCTCGTCTGGTTGCCAAAGGTTTCTCACAGGAGTATGATATTGATTATGAGGAGACTTTTGCTCCTATTGCCAAGATGACTACTGTCCATTCTTAGATTTCTGTCGCTGCTATTCGTTCTTGGCCTCTTTATCAAATAGATGTTAAGAATTCTTTCCTCAATGGCCATCTCACTGAGAAGGTTTACATGTGTCCTTCCCCTAGCCTTTAACATTCCTCTGGACAGGTTTGTTGCCTTTGGTGTGCTCTGTATAGTCTGAATTAATCTCCATATGCTTGGTATGATTGTTTTCAGACTGCTGTTACTGAGCCTGGGTTTCATCCTTGTGCCCAGGACTCTGTTTTATTTCTTTTCCACACCTTTACTAGATTTGTTGCGTTATTACTATATGTGGATGATATGATCATCACTGGTTTGAACTTCTCTATTATTTCTGAGGTTAAGCAGCATCTTTTCCGCACCTTTGAAATGAAGGATCTGGGCCCATTGTGGCATTTTCTTGGTATTGAGGTAGCTTCTTCTCCCAAGGGCTACTTTCTATCTCAGGCCAAGCATGCTAATGAGGTTATTCATTGTGCCGGTCTTACCGACACTAAGATTTCTGATACCCCTATTAAGCTTAATGTAAAGCTCAACACTACTGATAGTGTTCTTCTAGATGATCTTACTTTATATCGAGAGCTCGTGGGTTACTTAGTCTATTTGACGGTTACTCATCCTAATCTTGCCTATGATGTTCATGTGGTTAGCTAGCTTGTCTCTGCTCTTCGCTCCACACATTGGGCTACATTGGTTCGGATTCTTCGCTATCTCCTAGGTACTATATTTTAGGGTTTACTATTGTCCTCTACTTTCTCTCTGAATTTGGTGGCCTATGCTGATTCTTATTGGATTGGTAATGTTACTGATCACAAGTCCACATCTGGTTTCTGTATGTTTCTTGGCACTTTCTTGATCTATTGGAAAAGTAAGAAACAAATTGTTATTGCTCGCTCTACTGCCGAAACTGAGGATCGTGCTATGGCTCATGCTACTGCTAAAGTTGTCTGGCTTAGTTGTCTTCTCTCTGACTTAGGCATCCCCCAGTCTTTGCCGACCTCCCTCTATTGTGACAACCGCAGTGCTATTTAGATTGTACATAACATTGTCTTCCATGAGCGGACCAAGCATATTGAGATTGATTGTCACTTTGTTCGTCAGCATCTGCAGTCTGGCTTTATCTCGCTTCCTTTCGTCTTTTCGGCTCTACAACTTGCTGACTTCTTTACCAAAACTCATACCACTGCCCGGTTTCAATTTCTTCTTGGCAAACTCTCAATGTTTTTTGTTAAAACACCTTGAGTTTGAGTGGAGGTGTGAGAATATTGTGTATATATGTATATATGGTAGTGTAGTGTGTATATATTCTGAATTGGGTGAATATTTTCGTTTCTTTTTTAGCCTTAGGGTTAGGAGTACTATATAATCATATGTATCCTTTGTATTTTAAGACAATTGAATATACAGTTCTTATTCAGAAATCTTACAGACAAATGTAAAAAATTTCAATTGAGAGGTGAAGTACTATTGAGTGATAATTTAAGGAGGTAAAATGTAATTTGTACTATAGTTGAAACTATATTTTCACATAAATGTTTAAATTGAAAACAAATAACAAATAAGGCGAGTTAAAATTAATGTCAAATAACACTAATTATTATAATTCAATTGTCACCCTAAGTTAAAAGCCAAGACTATTAAAATTAAATACTCAAAATATAAATTATAAAATTAATCCAATATAGATAGGGTTAGAGATCATAAAAACATTGAGCAAGAGTAAAGTGAAGGGCAAGGGAGTGTTTTAAGGAGTTGGGTTGGTGTTGTGCCACAAGGCACAACATCTATGTTGTGAGGTCCATGAAAGTGTGTCTTGAGTTTTTTTCGATAATCTGAACTGTTCATATTGTAAGATTTGTTGAGTATATTATGCATAAAAAAATTCAAGTTAATCGAATATACGTAATCCTATGATTAGCCCTAATTATTTCTTAAAAAATTATCAAAGTTATACCAACCATTATTTTTATTTTAAACAAAAGTGATCTTATTATAAGGTTATAGATCTAATTAATTTAATCCTTCTATATATAATTATTCGACAAATCTTATAATATAAACTATTCAAATCACAAAATAGAATTGAGACATACTCCGATAGGCCTCACAACATGCATGTTGTGCCAAAAGGTATAACACCTACCCCAAGTTTATGAGTTTTAATAGGTAGAAGTCTTAGTAAACTAGATGAGAGTGGATTAAGGATCTCCTGACTTATACTTACCGCGTTGTAATTTCTACTCACACCCTCACACATAACACACATTACGATGAGACCCAACTAGGAGGTGTGATCTGGGTCTGGTCCATGACAGGACAATTTGTTGTATTTGGTATGGCTTTGTAGGCATCGACTCTTCTAGTCACTCCTGCCTCCACCCTTACCTTTGTTTCTGCCACAACCCCATTCCACCCCTAATAGAATGATGCCGTGATAGCCAATAATCCGAGATTACTGATAGCCAACTTACAAAGATTCACACAAACAGAGTATACATATTGGGCGTGCATGTGTGGGAAGCATAAATTTAAATCTAATTAGTCCATAAGAGTTATGCATAGATTAAATGGAATGACATACATCTTAACATGATTTTATAACTTGAATACAAAATAAAGTAAAGTTTATATTACATCTTGATCAAAAGGATTCTCAAGCCAAATCATACAAAAGCAATGAACTACGAAGCTAAGAAGCATAATCTTCAAGATGCATACAAAAGCATAAAGCAAAACACATCTTCCAACAAAGTTTAGGCGATATTGCATTCTTGCTCATCACCTACATATATATAAGGGAGAGCAGTGAGTTAAAAACTCAGTGAATGATATAAGTAATAAATGTTTGAATGAATGATATTCGAGATTTTGCCAAAATAATACATATCATAACTTGTAACAAAACAAGGGATGAACTAAGTCCATCAATCAAAGTCTTTCAAAGCTTCAAGAGATGTTTACTAACATCTACATAATACAAGGGATGACATTCATTAGAAAAATAAGGGAATAACCAACTCGAAATCGATTAGACAAGCCCACCCATCGGTGGCAAGGGAGATATCTCATGCTTGATTAAATACTTTTTCAAAACAAAGCAAAGCTTTTATCAAAACATTATAACATAACTTTATTAAAAATACCACTCACAATAGCTCTTTGGTCGAGGGGATTAAGGCAAAGATCCAAGACCTACAATTACATAGTAACTCCATTGAATGCACTTCAAGAAGACAAGAAGGGATGCTCAAACATGGTTACGTAATGCACTCTCAGAACAAGTTTTAAATGAGTGAAATAAATCTCAGCACTTCTTTCCAAAACCAATTCAAGACAAAGCATTGCCAAAATAATACACATCATAACTTGTAACAAAACAAGGGATAAACCAAGTCCATCAATCAAAGTCTTTCAAAGCTTCAAGGGATGTTTACTAACATCTACATAATACAAGGGATGACATTCATTAGCAAAATAAGAGAATAACCAACTCGAAATCGATTAGACAAGCCCACCCATCGGTGGCAAGGGAGATATCTCATGCTTGATTAAATACTTTTTCAAAACAAGCAAAGCTTTTATCAAAACATTATAACATAACTTTATTAAAAATACCACTCACAATAGCTCTTTGGTCGAGGGGATTAAGGCAAAGATCCAAGACCTACAATTACATAGTAACTCCATTGAATGCACTTCAAGAAGACAAGAAGGGATGCTCAAACATGGTTACGTAATGCACTCTCAGAACAAGTTTTAAATGAGTGAAATAAATCTCAGCACTTCTTTCCAAAACCAATTCAAGACAAAGCAAAACATGTGCTGAGAGTTAAATCAATGTTTTTCTTCTTGGAAAAGCATGCTGGGTACAAACCAGGTCTCAGAATGGATACACAGAGATGAGCTGGGCCGAAATGGCCTAGCTAAGTGAACTCATGAGGTCTTGGCCAAGGTTCCACACCCTTGGCTGAGGTGTGGTCTCCTCGGCCAAGATGTTACAAGGTGCCGGCAAAGGTGTACAGTGGTCGGCCTAGGTGTGCATGTAAAATAGACTAAGGTGCAAATTATCATGCAAGGTAAGCCAAGGTGAGGTACAATGCTTGGCCTAGGTGTGAGGTTTGGACAAGAGTGGTCACAGTGACCACACTTAGGGAAATAGTGAAGTTTTGAAATCTGGATTTCCTCTTGAAGAACATGAATGCTAAAAATCATAACTTCTTCTTCAAAATATGAGATTTCATAATATGAGTTCAAAACATGGACCAAGGTACCCATACTTGAAGATTTCAAGAAAACAAACACAAAAATATGGAACCTGAGACAAACTTTTAGATCAAAACATGACTTTCTTTCAAGAACACAAGAACATCACTTTCTCTCTCTAAAACAAAACTTTAAATCAATGCATGGCTCATGAATCATGTTAGATCATGCAATGTGATCAGATTAAACTAAAGAGCAACAAGAGTAGATTAAGAATCTAACCTCAAATCACAAATCAAATGGTTTAAGGTACGAAAATCAAGCTTGGAAATCTAGTTCTCACTCTAAGAACTCCTTCTTTCTCCTACAGCTTCTCTCTCTTCAAGACAAAGATATGACAAATGATATGGGTTTCTCAACTGCTAACTGACTTAAACCCACTACTGGACACGTGGCATCATCTGATCAATCTCCTCAAAAAGGTGCCAGAGTGAAAAGACAAGAATAGGTCGAAGTGTAAACAAATAAAGTGGCATGGGCACTCTGACAAGGCAAAGATCCTGGATCAATACATAGGCATTGGACAAGTAAGGTTTCCCTGATCTTGACTAGAAGGAGTAACACTTGGCTTAGGTGAGACACACCTCGACCTGGGTTATACAGGTCAAGGAACAAGATAGCTAGGTATTGGCTAAGGTGCACAACAAGGCTATAAGGTTCAAGGATCAAAAATCTCGAATGCCTAGATGATACACATCTCGGCCTAGATGATACATATCTCGGCCAAGATGCCAGGGTGAAAGTGGGTCAACCAAGATGGTTCCAAGATGATCCTAGGTGTTGATGCTCAACGGCCTACATATAAAAGGTTCAAAGATGTGACCTAGGTATAAGGTAACAAAGGTAAATAACCTAGGTTCAACACATAAAGCTAAGAACAGAGCATGAATCTTATACTTAGACAAAACATAACAATACAAAACAAGACAGGAACCTTTACTTAGCCAAACAAATAGAAGTCTGCAGATGCAAGCTTAATAAGACAAAATCATGTGAATTCTCATGAATATGACTAAGGAAAAATGAGAGTTATAGACTACCCACCTTAAAGAAGTTTGGTCCCCCCACTTAAGTTACCTTGCCCCAAAAATAACTCCGGATGTCGAATTTTCATCTCCTCTTCCATTTCCCATGTAGCATCTTTGCCATAATGCTCCTTCTATTCAGTTTTCATCATTGGTATCAACTTATTGCTCACCTGTTTCAGTTATCTATCAATAATTCGTATTGGCATTTCCTTGTAGCTTAAATCTTCATTAACCATAATCCCGAAATGATCAATCACTTGCACTGGATCCCGAATATAGTTCCTTAACATCAAAGCATGAAACACATTGTGGACTTGACTTAATTCCGGTGGCAAAGCAAGTCGGTAGGTTACGGGGTTAACTGTCTCAAGAATTTCAAACGGCCTGATGTAACGAGGCGCTAACTTATCTTTCTTCCCAAATCTTGAAACTCCTTTCATTGGTGAAACTTTCAGGAATACATGATCCCCAATTTCAAACTCTAACTCTTTTCTTATTTGGTCGGCATAACTCTTTTTTCGACTTTGAGCGGTTTTGATCCTTTGCTAAATGAGCTTAATCTTCTCAGTTGTCACTTGAACTATCTCGGGACCAATCAAGGCTTTATCTCCTACTTTGGTCCAATAAATTAGTGGTCTACACTTTCTCCTATACAAAACTTCAAACGGCACCATGCCAATGGCAACTTGGAAACTATTGTTGTAAGCAAATTCTACTAACGACAAATGTAATTCCCAACTT